GCTGCACCCTGCATCTGATTTCTTTCCCTTTTTCTCTGTTGTTTTCCTTTCTCATCATGTCTGATTGTTGGAGCTAAAGACCACGTTTTTGTTGCCTTATTTTAAAAGGAGTAGCTAGCCCTATAGAAGGAAAGAAAAGAGCCACACCATCCTGCAAAACTGGAAAGAAATCAGACGTAAAACACCACCACAAAATCAGAATATTGCAGTTTCCTTTTGCTTTTTTTTTACTGCAAATCAATAGGGATTTGCGTCCTAGGATTAATGCATTGAATCCTTCCTAAATAGATATATGTTAGACTATATATAAGCCCCTCTAATGACCTAGGGCGGCAGTGAAAGAAAGGGAGGAGAAGAGAGGAAAAAGAGTAGCAAAGGAGAGCAGAAAAATAAGAGAAGAAACGGAGAGAAAATGAAGAAAAACAAATACACCAAAAGAAAGAAAAAACAAGGGGCATGGAGTTAGTAAAAACATAAAGAGGAGAAAGGAGAGGCAGGCGACAGGGAAACCAGCTATTTTGTTCGTTTCAGCATCTCTATTTTCTCCCGTCATGTATCAATAGCTAAGGAGGCACAACTTCTTCAATACCATTCCTAGACGAACAACATCGCTGCAGCTTCTTCAATTCCATTCCCAGCCTCTTTTGTATTTTTTTTTATACTAGGCATTCGGTTTTCCATTCCCAGGTCTGTTTTTTCTTTCATCCTCCAGTATGCATTTTTTTGCTTTTAAGTTTGCACTGTTCAAGTGAATTAATTCACCTGTATTCACCAGCCTCCTTTGTATTTTTTTTTTATATGAGGCATTTGGTTTTCCATTCCTAGGTCTGTTTTTTTCTTTCATCCTGCAGCATTCATTTTTTTGCTTTTAAGTTTGCACTGTTCAAGTGAATTAATTCACTTGAACAGTATTCACCAGCCTCCTTTGTATTTTTTTTGTTTTACTAGGCATTCGGTTAAAGTTGTTTCTTCACTCTGAATAATTAGTTTATGTTTAGAAAAAAAAACCAACACATTGCCTATTATTTCTATCATGATTTTTGAG